CTGCACAATCCGGACACCTCTCTTTGTCGCATTCCTCGCATGTCTTCCAGCACCAGGAAGCAGAAGCCCGGGCAAAAGCAGCGGAGGAACTTCAGGCCTTGATGTTCACTTCTGATGACATGGGCGGGTGTATGTTTTCCATGTTATGTGGACGGTATGGGGTGTAGGGATATTACCCCCCAGTTCTGGAGTTTCAAATGGAGGAGAAGTACATACAGCTACATTGGAGTATATAGGTCATGGGGCAGGGTTCTGTGCAGTTGCAATAGCTGAAGAGTCAAACTCCTCCACTGAACAGGCGCTACGACAGCCCAGAGACAAACCCCAAAACCCTAAAGCTTGGACCCTAGCTTGAGAGTACAGGCTGCCATTGACAGCGGTGACCTCGCACTGTTGGAAGCTGCGCTTGTGAAAGCGCGGTCTCTGAAGGTCTCTGAGGACGCTTCTCTGCTGAAGACATATGAAGAACAGGGTCCGCAACAAAACCTCTTGGAGCAATCTCAGAGTTGCTCTTGCAGGGGTTTTCAGGGCTTCTGAATCTTGAGAATGTAGATTGAGAGATCAGTTTGGGCGCATGCTCGACGGAGTTCTGCCGGATAGGACACATGTGGATGAAGGGTTGCTGGCTTAAAGGATTGGGCGAATTTCCCATCCAGTCCGTAATCTAAGGGGCCCTCAAGCTCTAAAGTCGCAACGCCCTTACCCCCTGTGCCTAGCAGGCATACTTGGAGGATTAAAGGTAGGATGAAGATATGCATAGGCAAGACCAGTTATAATCGGATTTGTGGTGCCTCTAATTCCTTTGCAGCTACCTAGGAGCCTCCAAGAAGTGGCTGGATTATGTCTGGACTTTGCGAGGCCATGAAGAAAGAGTTCCCCTCATTTACCCAATTAACAAGTGACCAACTCGCAACATAGGCGTCCACCTCACAACCGATGCTGACACCTCTCTTTGAAGGCCCTCCACAGCAAGACGCCCAACTTCTCAACAGGGTCTGGTTCCAGCAGCCGCGCCTAAGGTTCTTCGCGCAGCTGAAGCGCTGCTGCATTCTGCGGGCGCGCAAGCTTCTCTTTTGAGGGCCATGGAGGGCCATGACATCCAGGCAAGCGTCTTAGTGGGCAATGTCATAGGAATGCAACCCCTGTTCATTTGGTCGGCCCCAGCAGCAGCAGTCTAGAAGGAGAATGCCCGCGGAACATGCGCGCTGTTGCTGCCTCCTTTCCTTATCCTGAAGCTCTGCATTACTGCGCGGTCTCCTTCCGACAGCCCGAACAGAATGTGATTTTTGCAGCCTGGATGACTTTTAGAAGTATGGGTTTCCTGCCTGCTTTGTTGGCATCCTTGTTACAAAGACCCCCCAAGCCGGGACCCATTTCTTGCCCGGCAGGCTCTTGAGAATGCGTTGAAGGATGCAGAAGCAGCCGGTGTTGGGTCAAATGTGCTTGTGTGCCTCGCCACAAGTGTTGAAGCTTGCGAGCCTAAGGGGCTCAGGACAATGTCTGAACGTTAATTTCGGGTTGGGGGCTACGGCCCACAGCTGTAGGGTTTCCAAGCCATAGGACATACGGCACCTAGGTGGTGTGGTTCTGGTCAGGGCAGCAAATACCCGTGAATCAGACCCTTGAAGGGCACCTTCGAGGAAAAGTAGGCGTCAGCCTAGAACAAGCCCAGAAGCAAGCATTTTACAACCTTGCTCCTGATGTATGACGGGCACCTTCGAGGAAAAGTAGGCGTCAGCCTAGAACAAGCCCAGAAGCAAGCATTTTACAACCTTGCTCCTGATGTATGCCAGATATGCTGATACAGCAGCGGCTGGAGCAGTGCAAGGGTCATGCACATCGCAAACCCTTATCCGCCAGACATCGCTGTCTCAGTGGTGATCTGCGGGGGTGGGGGGTTGATGTAGTTCAGGCAAGACAAGTCAGAGGAGCAGCCGTTGTAGCAACATCTCTCCCGCGAAAAGCACCTCAGCAAGCGTATGGTAGTGATTCCAAAAATGTCCATTTAAGTATACGTAATATAGCAAATACACAGGGCCCAAAGGGGTTCGTGTAAAATTCCTGTGGGGCCAAGCAAGCATATACTAGATACGGCTACATGAGCTATGGTGTAAACTCTTTGAACGGGGGCTTATATCGGGAATTCTATAGGGGCAGAAGTTCCGACTGTGGCTCACATTGACCTTTGGGGAATTAGAGCGAATCTCACTTTCGGACCCCATTGCGCTCTCAAAGCACGCCCTGCCTATGGATTGCCAGGAAAGCACGTGATCGCCTTTGCAAGTTGAAGGACTGATGGGAAGGGTATGGGCGACGGCAGAAGAAACTAAGGGGGAGTTTTGATGCCGCATTTCCTACAAAGGGTCCTTGTTGAGTGTTGTTCGTGGGTTTTGGGCAACCTCACCTGCAGCTACTTCTGCACAATCCGGACACCTCTCTTTTTCGCATTCCTCTCACTTCTTCCAGCACCAGGAAGCAGAAGCCCGGGCAAAAGCAGCGGAGGAACTTCAGGCCTTGATGTTCACTTCTGATGATATGGGCGGGTGTATGTTTTCCATGTTATGTGGACTGTATGGTGTTTAGGGATATTACCCCCCAGTAATGGAGATTCAAATAAAGAAGAAGATGCGAGGGGAAATGGACGCAACGACTGTATATAGAGCTACATTGGAGTATATAGGTCATGGGGCAGAGTTCTGTGCGGTTGCAATAGCTGAAGAGTCAAACTCCTCCTCTGAACAGGCGCTACGACAGCCCAGAGACAAACCCCAAAACCCTAAAGCTTGGACCCTAGCCTGAGAGTACAGGCTGCCATTGACAGCGGTGACCTCGCACTGTTGGAAGCTGCGCTTGCGAAAGCGCGGTCTCTGAAGGTCTCTGAGGACGCTTCTCTGCTGAAGACGTATAAAGAACAGGGTCCGCAACAAAACCTCTTGGAGCAATCTCATAGTTGCTCTCCCAGGGGTTTTCAGGGCTTCTGAATCTTGAGAAGGTAGATTGAAGGATCAGTTTGGGCGCATGTGGATGAAGGGTTGCTGGCTTAAAGGATTGGGCGAATTTCTCATCCAGTCCCTAATCTAAGGGGCCCTCAAGCTCTAAAGTCGCAACGCCCTTACCCCCTGTGCCTAGCAGGCATACTTGGAGGATTAAAAGTAGGATGAAGATATGCATAGGCAAGACCAGTTGTAGTCGGATTTGTGGTGCCTCTAATACTTACGTTGCTACCTTTGAGCCTCCAAGAAGTGGCTGGATTATGTCTGGACTTTGCGAGGCCATGAAGAAAGAGTTCCCCTCATTTGCCCAATACCCTTGAACAAGTGACCAACTCGCAACATAGGCGTCCACCTCACAACCGATGCTGACGCCTCTCGGGCCCTTCACAGCAAGACGCCCAAGTTCTCAGCAAGGTCTGACAGTCTGACTCGAGCGGCCGCACCTAAGGTTCTTACCGCAGCTGAAGCACTGCTGCATGCTGCGGGCGCACAAGCTTCTCTTTTCAGGGCCATGGAGGGCCATGACATCCAGGCTCGCGTCTTAGTGGGCAATGTCTTAGGAATGCGACCCTTGTTTATTTGGTCGGCACTAGCAGCAGCAGCAGTCTAGAAGCAGAATGCCAGCGGAACATGCGCGCTGTTGCTGCCCCCTTTCCTTATCCTGAAGCGCCGCGTTACTGCGCGGTCTCGTTCCGACAGCCCGCCTGGGTGACTTTCAGAAGTATGGGTTTCCTGCCTGCTTTGTTGGCATCCTTGTTACAAAGACCCCCCAAGCTGGGACCCATTTCTTGCCCGGCAGGTTCTCGAGAAGGCATTGAAGGATGCAGAAGCAGCTGGTGTTGGGTCAGATGTGCTTGAGTGCCTCGCCACAAGTGTTGAAGCTTGCGAGCCTAAAGGGGCTCAGGACAATGTCTGAACGTTAATTTCGGGTTGGGGGCTATGGCCCACAGCTGTAGGGTTTCCAAGCCTTTCTACTTCCTAGGACACGGGGCACCTAGGTGGTGTGGTTCTGGTTCAGGGCAGCTGATACCCGTGAATTAGACCCTTGAAGGGCACCTTCGAGGAAAAGTAGGCATCAACCTAGAACAGGCCCAGAAGCAAACATTTTACAACCTTGCTCCTGATGTATGACAGACATGCTGATACAGTAGCAGCCGGAGCAGTGCGAGGGTCATGCACACCGCAAACCCTTATCCGCCAGACATCGCTGTCTCAGTGGTAATCCACGAGAAGAGAGTGTTAGTCTCTGCGAAAGCAAGGTTCAGAGCATTTATGCTTATGCTTGCATCAAGAGTTTAGGGTTTGTAGGGTACATTAGGGCTGGAGGAAAAATATACAAATTATAGGAGCGGCCATTGTATCACTGTAATCACATTTCTCCCGCAAAGGGCTCTGCAGTAACAATTTGGTAGTGCTTCCAACAGGGTCCATGTAGGTATATGGCAATATAGTAAATGCATTGGGCCCAAAGGGGTCCCCACACAAATGTTTTGGGGCCTGAGCATGACGTTTTGGGAACTGGAGCAAAACTCAATTTCGGACCCCATTGCGCCCTCGAAGCACACCCTGCCCATGGATTCCCAGGAAAGCACGTGATCGGCTTTGCGAGTTGCAGGACTGTGATGGGCCGGGTAGGTGCGACAGCAGAAGACAAAAACGGAAGGTCGTGATACTGTATTTCCTAAAACCGGGTCCTTGTTGATTATTGTTCGTGAGTTTTGGGAATTCTTATCCGCAGCTACTCTACATAATCTTGAAACCTCTCTTTGTCGCATTCCTCTCACTTCTTCCAGCACCAGGAAGCAGAAGCCCGGGCAAAAGCAGAGGAGGAACTTCAGGCCTTGATGTTCACTTCTGATCACATGAGGGGGTCTGTTTTCTGTGGCTAATGATAGGGTTGTATATGGGGATTGGTCTAAATTCCCTATAATACTCGGTCCTATATATGGGTTCCCATGATAATACGGGGCCCTATATAAATTTTCCCCATTTTGGGAACAGTAATTTAGGGAAACTTTCATATGGATTGTGTAGGGTGTCGGGATCCCCAATACTACCCGAAGAATGGAGAATCACATGAGGAAGTCAAAGACCTTCAAAGTCCCCAAATCGAGCCCTCAACCTCCACATGCTAAACCTTCCCTAAGGGTCCGAGTACCTAATAATCATATATATTTACCCAAAACCTGTACTATAATGACTATTACCCAAATCCCAAGTACCTAATTATTGGGTACATGGACCCTTAGGGCTTGAACCTTAGCTCGAAAGTATAGGCTGCCATTGACAGCGGTGACCTTGCACTTTTGGAAGCTGCGCTTGCGAGAGCGCGGTCTCTGAAGGTCGCAGCGGACGCTTCTCTGCTGAAAAAGGTATACAGAACAGGGTCCCCAACAAACCTCTTGGAGCAATCTCACAGTTGCTCTCCCAGGGTTTTTCAGGGCTTCTGAATCTTGAGAAGGTAGATTGAGGGATCAGTTTGGGCTCATGCTCGACGTAGTTTTCTTGGTTGGGACGCATGTAGGCTGAGGGTTGCTGGCTTAAAGGATTGGGCTCAATGCCCCATCCAGTCCCTAATCTACAAATGACCCTCAAGCTCTAAAGTCGTAACGCTCTTTAGCCCTGTGTAATTGGAGGATTAAAAGTAGGATGACGATATGCAAGACCAGTCATAATCAGATGTTCAACGCCTCTAACCCTAATTATACCTACACAGCTACCTAGGCGCCTCCAAGAAGTGGCTGGATTATGTTTGGACTTTGCGATGCCATGAGGAAAGAGTTCCCTTCATGTGCCCCCCCTCACATACCGAAGCTGAGAGCTCTCATTGAAGGCCCTTCACAGCAAGACGCCCAACTTCTTAACAGGGTCTGGTTCCAGCAGCCGCGCCTAAGGTTCTTCGCGCAGCTGAAGCGCTGCTGCATGCTGCGAGCGTGCAAGCTTCTCTTTTGAGGGCCATGGAGGGCCAGGACATCCAGGCTCGCGTCTTAGTGGGCAATGTCATAGGAATGCAACCCCTGTGTATTTGGTCGGCCCCAGCAGCAGCAGTCTAGAAGCAGAATGCCAGCGGAACATGCGCGCTGTTGCTGCCCCCTTTCCTTATCCTGAAGCGCCGCGTTACTGCGCGGTCTCGTTCCGACAGCCCGCCTGGGTGACTTTTAGAAGTATGGGTTTCCTGCCTGCTTTGTTGGCATCCTTGTTACAAAGACCCCCCAAGCTGGGACCCATTTCTTGCCCGGCAGGCTCTGGAGAATGCGTTGAAGGATGCAGAAGCAGCCGGTGTTGGGTCAGATATGCTTGAGTGCCTCGCCACAAGTGTTCAAGCTGGCGAGCCCATAGGGTTGATTTCGGATTTGGTGCTACGGCCCACAGGCTTAGGGGGTTCTTCTAATTCCGGCACCTAGGTGGTGTGCTTCTGGTTCAGGGCAGCAAATGCTCGTGAATTAGACCTTTCAAGGGTACCTTCGAGGAAATCTAGGCATCAGCCTAGAACAAGCCCGGGAGATCGCATTTTGCAACCGTAATGTAAGCGGCGTTATTATACAGGGGGTGGTTATATTAAAATTCCCCGGGCCAGAGGAAATCCTGAGAGTTGGGATATTGTGCATTCTGATTTTACTGGCGAACCTATGATTTACTTGTCGTGCCTACGCACATACTGGCCGTTCAGCGGGTGATTATTATACAGGGTGGCAATAACGAAATTCCGCGGCCTAATGCTCCTTAAAAATCGTTGTTCGCAATTGAAATCAAATTGAGAGAATACTCTTACTTACTCCTACTCTCCTACTCATACTCTTACTCTTCTCGTGCTCTTGCTCCCACTCATACTCAACTCCGAAAGAGCTCAGGTCCTAGAGGCTTTATTATGACCCCCCAATTTTCCAGACCTTTGTTTCGAGATTGGTGCGCCCGAAACTCCAAGGGGGGTGGGGTTAATGTAACGACGCTCCACTACTCCTCATTAAGTAGTCATGCCATCTTTTTATGACAGATATCCCGATCCAGTAGCCACTGTATACAGAGCAGCAAGCGTCATGCACAGAAGCCCCCATCCGCCAAACATTTGCTGTCTCAGTGGTGAGAGGGTTGCCCTTCGTGAAAGCAAGGTTCAGAGCATTCACACTTCCACCAAAGGTTTAGGGATCCATGTACACAAATAATACCTAGTCGTACAGTGGGCCCTAAAGTCTGTAAATATTACCTACATTGGGCTATTTGGATCCCTAGGGAAAGGTTTAGGGAACCAATTCAGGAATCCTAGGAGCAGCCAATGTATCATTGTAATGACATTTCTCCCTCGAAGAGCCCCGCAGTAACCGCGTGATCCAAAAGGGTAAACGTAGGTATATAGGAATACAGTAAATACGTAAGGCCCAGAGCGGTTGCCACACAAATATTTTGGGGCCTAAGCATTACCATATGGCTGCATGAACCTTTTGGGAACCGGAGCAAAACTCAATTTCGGACCCCGTTGCGCCCTCCAAGCACACCCTGCCCATGGATTCCCAGGAAAGCACGTGATCGGCTTTGCGAGTTGCAGGACTGTGATGGGCCGGGTAGAACGGAAGGTCGTGATACCGTATTTCCTAAAACCGGGTCCTTGCTGATTTTTGTTCGTGAGTTTTGGGAATTCTTACCCGCAGCTACTCTACATAGTCCGGAAACCTCTTTTTTGAGCATTCCTCTCACTTCTTCCAGCACCAGGAAGCAGAAGCCCGGGCAAAAGAAGAGGAGGAGGAACTTCAGGCCTTGATGTTCACTTCTGATCATATGGGGGGGTCTATTTTCCATGGCGAATAGTTGGGTTAGGGATGTTAATTTCACCGAAATTGAGAATCAAATGAACAAGTAGATGAAACGTGAAATGAAGACTACTGTATACTGCGGCAGGATCAAAATTCGTCGCACATCCTTGCAGAGGTACTGCATATGTCCTGCGCAGATTCCCTTCCCCCGTAGACTCGTCCACCAAGTCCTGCCCTAAACCCCAATGCAAAGCGCCAAGTCCTCCGTCCGCAACAATTCAAGTATCCTTGTTTCCCTGTGGTGGATTCATTCCTCCGCTAGCCAGGCCGGGGGACAGGCACTTTAGTGTACTCCGCATTCTCCTCGACATGAAAGTAAGCAAATGCAACGCAACAGTATTCCTGGCAACGTATAGGGTTGCATTTGGATATATGGGGAGGGGTGTAGTTCCCTGCCTTGGCAACCCAAGGATAGAAACAGATTTCAACGACATGGGGGTCCATACATGAGGTTTTGTCGGTTTGAACTGTTTGAGAGTCTTTTCAAGAGCAAGTCCTCCTTGTGGGCCCTTGTCATAGAGACTCTGTTATTTGCAAGTGGCGAAGCATGGCAACTGTAAGGGTGGAAAAGGGTTTTGGGGGTTAGAGTTGCAGCAGAGTGATAAGGGAATCCGGGACCCCCATTTTCAGACTCCCCCAAACCTGAATCACTGGAGGATGAATGTGTACTCCTTGCATATTATCTCGTTGACGTTTCGGAAAATCTGCGGCTGCAAGGCCAGGGAAGAGGCAGCGCGCATCGCTCTGCTCGCCCTCAATGAGTTGTTGGCTGCCATGAAACTCTCCGACCTGGCAGCCCCCTGTTTGGGTTTAGGGTGTGTATAGTCCCCCTTAAGTAGATAGAATATGGGCATTGGGTATATTATAATAAGATCCCCATCTGCCCCATATTCTATTTATTTAAGGGGGACTATAGGGTGTAGGGTTCCCCCCCTGTTTTCGAAGAGTAGCCAACTCTAGGGCTCCCTTTTTACCTAAATAGCAGGTTACTGGGCCATGTAACTATAGGAAAACAGGACTCAGAACCCATTTGAGTAGTATTTTATTTGGGGACACTATGGTACCCATGATAGAGTAAGATTCTATCCTCCTTTTGGGTATAGTATTTATATAATATGAGAATATCATCTTACTAGGTTCAACCACCAAAACAACGCTACTCATTTATTACTTAAGTAGCTGAAGCTGTAGGGCAAGACATGGAGGCTACAGCTCTGTTTAGGACTTCAGGGGCCCCAATTGAAACAAAGTAGAAAATCAGATGGATAGTGGGTTTGTCTAGAGGTATTTAGGAGGACCCCCCACCCTGTAATAGTGGTAGAATAGGAAGAGGACCCTAATATAACCCCTA